CGGGTTTGGTTAGGGGCCCTTTCCTGATCTGATAACTGCCAGAGAGAAGCCAAAAGCAGAGTCAATCTGCAAATACTTAATCCTCCAGAAGGCAGATTAAGTGTATAATTGACCTATATAATCCATGTATCATCCCCAGTCAAATGTTCGCCGGGCCTGGTTCACAACGGCACGGGGGCCTGAGGAACGCCAGTGCGGATCGGGCATTACCACCAACGTGGATGCCTTCCAAGTTCGAGATGGTTTTTTAATCACTCATCTCCGAGCCTGTGAGGTTTAAGCAGATGAATTCACCCTAAGCACATCTCTTTTAATCCCGATTTTCTTCTCAGTCTGTGTCTTCAAGAAGTACAAGGAGGAAAGAAAATAAATTAATTTTTGTTTAGACCTTGAAATCTTAGGTGCTTCTCCTGATGATCTGATCTCTAATTTCAAAAAGCATGTTTTTGTTTTGGGGGAAGATATTAAATTAATCAGCCAAGTCGGGGGGGGGGTGGTGTGGGGGGAGCCATCTGCATGATTTATGGACACTCAAGCTTTAAATCACTGTCTTCAAGCTATTTCTTGGGTTTGTGCGTTTCTCCTCAACAGCTGCTTTAGGAATATGGAGATTATTTCCTATCTATGTTTTATATTTTCTTTAAAAGTCAGCAAAATTTTCCAGGAGGCCAAGCTTCCATTGGAGTCTGACAGCAACCTGATTCTCCTTTAAAAATTCAGCATCTTTAATATAATTTAAATTCATTGCTGTTTTACGTATTGGAATATTCTCTTGCTTTAAATCGCCCAATCTTTTGTTTTGAAATATTTTAAACTGTTATTTTGCAGCAACTGAAACCAGTTTAAAATCATATGTCCTACTTTTAGGAAAATTACAAAAATGCAGATGAAATGTATAGTTGTACATCTGAAACAGTATGGGAGGCTGCATGAGGATTCTTTTCCAATCAGTCCTTGATTTGTTTTTGGTTTTAATTTCTTAAAGCTTATTTATTTTTGAGAGAGAGAGAGAGACAGAGAGAGAGAGAGAGAGAGAGAGAGACAGAGTGTGAGCAGGGGAGGGGCAGAGAGAGAGAGGAGACACAAAATCCGAAGCAGGCTCCAGGCTCTGAGCTGTCAGCGCAGAGCCCGACGCGGGGCTCGAACCCATGAGCCATGAGATCATGACCTGAGCTGGAGTCAGACGCCTAACTGACTGAGCCACCCCGACGCCCCAAACAGTACTTAATTTTGGACTGGTTAATTTTTTTCTTAGGTGCATGACTAAAAAAGTTGATAGTATTTAACAGAATCTGGACAGTGCCAATCAATTACTAATAAACAGGGAAGCTTTCACTGCCTTAGAAAACCTGGTTAGGCAACGTTATGTCTGATGTATCGCTTCAATAAGCCTAGAGAATGCCTGTTTAAAAAAAATGTTGGTGAAGAAGAATTTGGAACACTGTTCTTAAGTTACATAATAAAATAGATAAAAATGCAGAACATTAAATATAGAGCCCCAAATGCTATGCCGATAATCTCCCACAAGCACCCAATTCCAGCCAAAAGTACAATGACAAGGCAGAGGGAAAGCTAGATCCGAGGGAGCCCGGTTAAAACGGAAGATGCGCTCATTAAATGACCCACTATTAGTCCAAATATTCTCAGATGCAAACACACACTAATGCCATCCAGCCTTTTCTACAAGGCACATTCAGAAAGGCAAAACCAAAACATCACAACAACAACCAAGAAACCGCGTCACAAAACTAAAGAGCAAGAACTTAAAGGACTTTTCAGGTAAATAAAACGGAGACTTTGAAACACAGCTGAAAGCACAACAGAAACTCTGAGACATGCCTCTGAATGACAGATGCCAGCAGGAGCTAAAAACCAGAGAATGACGCCGCAGTCGGAATCAACAACCCCCAAACAGCAAACAATCTCGGAGAGCTGTATTTTTGTCCTCGTTCAAAATGCTAATTTCCTATTATTCATTTCTGCCATTTATCAAAATGCAACAATTTGGAAGAGCCCCCTCTCAGATCAACAAGTTTTTCTCCATAGATTTCTGCCAATTGTTTAGAAACCTGCCCCAGGACCACCATCAGTAAGGAACAGAGTTTAAAGAACAAGTTCACTGTGGCAGGAAACTGAGGGTGGTCGGTTTCAGAGACCCTCCTGCCTGAACATTTGCTTCCCCTTGTTTAGCTCAGTGGACACGAGAGCCTTGCAGAGCGTAGATGCAAAGACATAAACACCATGCTTGAGGAAACAGAAGCCGAAAATAATCAAACATGTTGGTAATCTGATGTTTTGCTGCTAGATTATAGAAAAACAGTAAGTACTGAATTAAATTACCGAGACTGCATGGTAATGAAGCTTTTTGAGAAGCTCTGGGTTTTTCAAATGACAACTGTTTTAAATCCATGACAGATTCAATAACTTTTTTTGCACTACATCAGTTAGGTTGCTTAGCACCGATATTCTGTAAATTAGGGGAGCAGGTTATTTGGAAAGTAAGAAAGTGAAAGGCAAGAGATTTATTAGCTCCAAATAAGCTATTGAAAAAAAATTTTTTCCCACAGGGGTGGGAGGGAGGTTCAGCGAATGACTGTAATGGTGAAGTCTTTAAAATCAGATACTCTGGGGAGTGAAACTAAAACTCCCTCAGGAAACATGATTAGCACACTATGAGACTAAATTGGGAGGATTCTCACAGAATTAAGGAGGCCGTCTTACACAGGTCAGTGTAATTCGACAAGGGGCTAGAAATACTTGCGAGTTTTTGAATGACCCTAAGCATAATTTACTTTCTGAGCAGCATATTCTTAGTAAATGTGTCTTTTCATTATTAATTCACACTAAAAGCCAGAGGGCTTGAATTTGACTGTGTTCTACAATGGCCGGACAAGTCTAGCTTTCCCATCTGTGTCAGCCAAGGCTCCACTCTTATTTTCGAATGACAATTCAGTTGCACTTTCCTTAAAAAAAAAAAAAAAAAAGCCACAGAAAAGGACAATTTGTCTTGTTGCCTTCAACAAGGCTACCTTAAAATTTTTTGTGCCCCTTGTCATTTTAATAAAAAAAAAAAAAAAAAAGAAGAGGTGGCTTATCTGTGAGGAAGCGACAGGCTAAGCTGCAGATCAAACATCAAATTCAGTACGAGATGTTTTTAAGTGTTAGAGAGCACAAGGTTATTCGCACGCACGCTCGCACAGGAACGCACACGCACACGCACGCGAGGGCCACACAAAACTGAGAATCAGAAGATACTGATCAAAGGAAAACAAAACAAAACAAAAAAGGCAACCTAGGCATTGAAAAGAACAATCCACAGGCTTCTTGAAAATTTGCGGTTTGGAATTTAATTCGGTGGAGATGGGCAGACTGTCCGCACTCCTAACTGCCATCTGAGGCTGCTGCCTGTCTCTGTTTTCAATGCCTATTGGATGGGTGATTGTGCCCTGGGCATTCTAGGCTCAGTACTTTCGTAAAGGCACACATGCAGAGAAGGGAGAGAACCCGCTGGTGAGTTTTATGTATGTATGAGGCATTCTCAGTGGATGTGGGTCATGCTAGAAGATGTACACAGGAAGATTATTTGATTCTAATTCATGCCACTTGATATAATGTGATAAAACATTTGACATGAGAGATAAGTTCCATTTTAATCCGAGAGAGAGGACGGGTGGGAATTAAAAAGTAAGAAAGGTTTTCTCGAGGAAAGGTGATGCAGAGGAAAGAGCGATATTGAGCACAGAGAGGGGATGATTGGAAAAGAAAAAAAGGAAGGAGCCTTTTCAACACACGAGGAAAGCAAATGAGCTGGAAGACAAAGCATATAAAAGTCAGAAGCTGGAGAATCCTGAGCACTGCCAACAATGAGCTCACTTAGCCATGGAACAAAAACACGCGCGCACACACACGCACAAACTCAATGTAAATTGCTGAACACAATCACAGAAAAAATATAGAAACACGGATTCCATAGTAGACCAAAACATTAATGTTCGGGCTGGCACTAAAAATATACGAAAACCTGGACAGAAGGAGCTCACGCTTCACGAGACAGAAGTAGGCTGCACAATTAGAGCCACACGGAGACAAGTACGTCAGCTTCCATGCACTCTGGCCGGGTCTACACTGGCAAATTCAGTGGAAACTTGAAGCAAAATATCTGGCTAAATTAGGCAGCCCCATCTGCTTTGGCCTGAAAGAGGCAGGCAGTTTGAGACCAAAGCAGATTCCTTTTTTTTTTCCCCCCTTCTTTTTGCCTCAGTGGCTTGCTTTGGAAGTGCAGATGTAGTCACAATGGAAATAAGACTGCTTGATAGCTATTAATCCTCAGAAATCTGCATTTTCTCCAGTTCGGTCTGGGTCGGGCAGCCTGATATACCTGCTCTTTGTATAGCCGCTTCTTCTCCCGAGTTTTCAAGTGGGTGGGTGGGCAGGGGGTGCCCCGGTTTAAAACCACACTGACTGAACAAGTCTAGTACAAGAGTTTGCCCAAAGCCAGGGCTAACGAAGCATTTCCAGGCTTCCAGAAACGGAGTTCTCTTGGAAGGGTAACAATGCACCACGTAGTGTACATCTGCAAGCCACGGCTGGGGTCAGGGAGGCACCACCCCCAGGAGAGGGAGCCGGTGTCAGCCTCCCCGACGACAACACATCCCTAAAGCAAGGCCAGATTGCGAGGAGGACCATGACCAAGAAAGGTCTCTGCCAGTTACAGAAAAGCTGCCTCACAAGCTTCGTGCAGAAACGAGGCTGCTTGCTGAGAGAGGCTGTGCGTCGTCCTACGTATCACACAGATTGGGACTGAGACACGGCCACGCCAGAGTGGGTTCGGAACAGACACACGACAGATAAGAGCCTAAGGCAGAGGGAAAGGGAAAGACACTGCTCGAATCAGGACCAATCCATTTTCTCAAAATGTGACTTATCCTCCTGTCTCTTATTTTGTCACATTTTGGAGGGTCTCCTCCTTGGTCTTCAAGGAGGAGAAGGCATTTACTTACATCAAATAACCTTTCTATATACATCTCCTCATTGACCTTATCACGGAGGACATCCTGAGAGTGACGGACGAAAGTCACATAGGCGTCGGCCACGTCCATCCCGGGTTTCTGCAAAGAAACAGGAAAACATGAAAATGGAATTTTCAGACAGTGACTTCCTCGGTGACTCATGCATTTCAGTCTCCCCACCCCACCCTACCCCACCCCACACTGCCTGTGCTGGAATTTGAAGCTATTCATAATATACTGTAGAGCTATCCACAGCCTGGACTGCTAAGAACTGATATTTGAGCCTCCTGCTCTTTCCAGGAATCAAACCTGGCTAAGAAAGGAAGCTGGGATTACACGGTTTTACAGTTATTTTTTTAAGCTATTAATTTCTTTTTCTGCTATAGATACTATAACAGATAAATCATCACTGGATAACCCAGAGACATCCTCTGGCTTTTCTTTGGATTGAAATCCCCATTTAAGAATACCCAAACAGACTCTGTCTTCCACTGTCTGTCCTTAATATAACATTGGAAAGGTGACAGCCTTCCTCGATCTTTTTTTCTTCTTTAAAAAATGGAGAAAATGCTAAGTAAAGAAATTATATTTTAGCGTACATCTCCTCCTACTGAAGCCACATTTTTTTTTGGGTGGGTGGGTGGGTGGGGAGGAACACTTTAACCTGAGTATGTAGTGAATATTTCCTAATCGGTTTACTCAGAAGAGACATTCAACCTCTTATCTGTCTTTACTTCCCAGCGCAGCCTTATGGCCCCCAAATTTTAAAAAGCAGGAATTGAGGAGGAGGGCGAAGGACGGGATTTTTAAATAAATTAGATTTTCTGGAAAGGTAAGCAGGTGGTTCATCCAGAGTTAAGAAATAATTTATTGTGAGAAAATACTAATACAAAAAAAAAAAGAGAGGCTCGGGGTGCACACTGCTTGAGATGTCGCAATCAAAGATACGTCCAAAGAAACCTATTAAAACAATGTAATATGGGTCATCAGGAGAGCTGCAACAAACCGCTTAAATTTCCACAGTAGACATGTATGTTTGCTAATAACTAAACAAGATTAGTTTTCATTACTGTGATTTACCTTAGATCACAAAGTATCATTTCTCTACAAGACGGGACTGTCAGCCACTGCAAATTGAAGTTAGTTAACACTTCTGTGTAATTTCCAGGGTGAAAATGAGGAAGGTTTGGAAACAGTAGGACTGTATTTTTTTTTTTTTTTCATGATACAAAGCAAACAATTATCAAGGAAAGGGCCAATGCTTTGGCCCCTGGGATGCTAGTAACATTTCTTAACACCTGCTGGAACAATGACAAGGTATTAATTTGAAAAACAATGAGGACAATCCAAAGCCACAGTAGTCAACTGTTACACTTTCAAGCAATTTTCAGTGAATGGATTGAGCAGGTTCCGTGATGGTCCTATAATTGTGGCAGTTTTATGATACGAAACAATAGAGGTTCTCCAATGAGATGTAAGTGATACATATCAGTTCTAAACTGGCACCTCGCTAGGCTCCTTCTCTCCCTTTGGCAGCCGCACATCAAAGGGCATTCTCAGTAGGGATGGGGACCCCCCTACTTGGGGGGACTTGAGAAACTTATTAGTATTGTTTCCATTTCTTCCCTGGTGATCCTGGAGGCAGATATGGCCTTTTCCTGGACTCATGCAGCCACCTCAGAGCTAAGATTCAAAGCTCAATTCAGCAGCCCTGTTAGTAACCGGCAACGTTAGTAACCTATAAGATGGTTATTTTCACCCACTCCTCTTTCCACAAAATTTGCTGTCGTCAAAGGGCGTTTCATTTAAGTTTTAAAAACTTTGACCAAAAAAAAAAAAAAATCAGGGTGGTTTATCTTACCTAGGTAGTTAAAAAGCTCCATGGTTCTCTACCTTTTGACCCTTCTTTTTCTTCATCACGTGTACCAATAGCTGACATTTACTATATATCTGCTTGTTTGCTCTCACTAGAACATAACTCCACAAATATAGGGGCTTTATTTGATCTATTTTCTATTGTATCCTCAGCACACAGAATGATGCCTGGCACAGAGTAGGTGCTCAGTAAATATATGCTGAATGAACAAACCCGTGAATGGATAAGCCCCTTCCCCACATCTTTTTTTTTTTTTTTTTTT